TTATAAGCTGTTTCATTTTCTAAATACATTGCTTTAAATATCTTCCGTCTTGAATCATAAGACATTTTGATGTTAAATTTTACGTAATAAAAGCTATGAATCTAGAAAATCAAAACGTCTTGTAATTTAAAATGAAGAGTATATAGAAAAATCAAAACATCTTATATACTTTAGAATGAATGGAATACTAGTAAAATTGAGGTTTCCATAGAGAATCCGAACCAACTGACATGTATGGTGTCATGTCAAACAACACGACAACACCCACATCATAGGGGGCGGCAAGAAAAATGCAGGCCTTTTCTAATCTCCTTATAGGAATCCTGCACCCAAAAGAGGGCCAGGCAGCGTGGCCACGTCGCCCGCTTTTCCCAGCCATCGGATCGGCCACGCGGATGGCCCAGATCCTGCTAGCCCAAGTCTTTTTTCAAAAAAAACCTCGAACTTTAGTCGAATCAACCCGCAGTCCAAAGGTCCTCTCAGGTTTTTTGTTTCAAAAAAGCCCTCGAACTTTACCGAAATCATGTCCGACTTCTCCATTCTTCTTCTCTCTCCCCCTCTCCTCTCTTCGCTCTCTCCCAAGTACCAACGCGGGTAAGAGCGATGGCGGCTGGCCCGAGCAGGACGTGGCTGCGGCTACCCTCCGCCTCCTCCTCCCCCCCTCGCACCCTTGGCCTGTCCACCGGTGCGCTATGCGCGCCTGGTCAGCGCGAGGAGGCAGCAGGCGGACGACAGCAACAGGCAGCGGCCGCGTGTAGTGCCTCTGGCCCTGCTGCCTGCAGTCGGCTGCCCTGTTCTCCTGCCCCTTCTAGACCCGAGTCCCGACACCGCTGCTCCTCCGACGACGCCGCTCTCGTCCCCGCCGAGCGCCGCCCCCGTACCCGTCCTCGCCCCTGTCCAAGACTCTGTCCAGGCCGCGCTGCCGGGCGCCACCCTATCGTCGTTCGCCGCCTGCTCCCCAATCTGAGGCCGCCCCGCCGCTCGCCACGAGCATTAGAGAGCGGCGCGAAGACGAGGGCCACGCCCCCGCGCTCGGCCACGGCCGCGGCGCGAAGTCGACCGGCGCGACTTCGCCGCCTGGGCACGGCCGCGGTACTGGAGGAGAGCGGCGCGAAGACGTGGGCCACGGCCCTTGCGCTGGAGGAGTGGAGAAGATGGCATCGAGTTCTCACCTACGGTCACTGCTGCAACCGATCCACACTCGTCTCGCATCGCTCGCATCCACTTGATCTAGCCATTGGACCTGAAGGAAAATTATTCCACGACGTCCGCGATGAACTGGCGGCGGTCGCTCCTCGCCTTGCCAATGCTCCTGGCGTCCCATCCCCTCCCCTCTCCACGCATGTCTCTGGCTGCTAGTTGATACATGCAGGCAACAAGGGGCGTGCCACACTGCGAGGTACGTCTCGTGCTACCCACCTCTGTCTATTCAAAGCACATACGCACAACAAGTGTTCGATGCTTTGCCTCTATGAGATGATTGTTAGTTTGAACCTGAAATATATGTGCAGATAGATGACTGCTATTATGTTAGTCACCTACCAATAGACTATTGATGTGACGGCACTTGATGCCATCTACGAGGACCTGGACGACTTTTACCATGGTCTACTGAATCCATGCCGCTGTCCGGTCCACCTCCAGTGCTCATACCGCTGCATTACATTAAGATTATTTAAAATTTGGAAATTTGGAATGGGACAAACTATTGGTTTGTAGGCTTTGATATATGCTACCATTGTTTTGTTTGTGGGATGGCAGACTGAATTTTCTTTGGACAAAGCCATATGAAAGTACATACGTAAAACATTCTGCAATTTGGTTGCTCAGGAACATATTTGTAGCAACATGTTAGGGCTACAGTATATGGAAATGCAGATTTGCTATATTGGACAAATGCATTTATCAGAAAACAACAGAACATGACATTATCAGACAGTATCTACTATGAACAAAAGTACCCATATGTATCTCTTGCTTTTATTTCTACCAGTCTTATCATTGTGATCTCCACACTAAGCATGCCTTTTTCTTTCCTTTTTAATTTTAAATTATCCCTACTATATTGAGTGTTTACCAATCACTCGAGACGGGTCAACAACTAGCCGTAAATCATCATAGTGATGGATTAGTATTTGGAATTTGAAATTTTAAAGCATAGTGAAATTAAGATCTAAGGGACACTCCATTGTTACACACCGGTTACTACCATTGCTTTCAACGTTCTCAAAGGAACCAACATCGATATGGAATCCCAATGGCACTGGCTCATTGAGATCCTTCCAGCTTGGGTCACATGAAGTGTCAAGTTCTTGGACTGTTATGCATGGAGCACTCTTGCCATGTAAAGTTCTTTTAGTTATTTAATCCTCTTGGATTATGAACACCTTTGGCCGATCAAGAAATCTATGTAATGGTATTGTTTTCTTAAATTTGAGAACTTGTATGTTGGGTCAATCAATATACTTCCCAAAATTTTGGTGTGCTACACTATGCTGCATTTATACACATATTTTCACCTATTTTTAAAATACGCACTGCCTACTCAGATAATTTGCTGAATTTTAGAGTTCGGCTACAGCCATAGCGTCTCAAGATCTAGTAATTGTTTACACTTGACTACTCAAATGACTTGCTACCTTTCTTTCTTTTAACAAAAAGAATAGCAAGGGATTTGTCATGATTTTTTTGAGGAGGATTTGCAGAGATTTATATCAAGGTAAAGATCTCAGTGCTCTACTCAGCTTCCACAAACCCAACATGACAACATCGGCTGGTTTTATAAACACCGACAGTAAACCTCCCCTTTGTGTCAGCACCATAACACGAAATGAGACCCTAGCTCTAAATGAGACCTCTGCTTATGTAGTAGTTTCTTGCGTTTTAGTTGCTCCCTATGCTCCATGTTTTTACTGTCTTTCCTATCTAAATTTGACCAGATGTGTATACTGAAAAATACAATTTTTAAGGATACTAAATAGGCTCCATTGTTCAGTTCTTTTTTTAGTATACGTTGTTTACATGATTGTAATTAGCTCCCATGTTTTGCCATACTCTGATAGCTTCTTCTATAGAAGCCAACAACAACTTCCACTAGGGTTAAGATACTAGATCAGGAGGGACACTATAGTGGTTGCACGCATATGCTGGTGGTGACATAAGACGAAAGCCTAGAAGTTCCAGTTTGTGCCGAAGCAACCTCAACACTCCAAACATTTGAGGTCTGCATATGCTTAAGTGTGACATGCTTGAGCAAGCATCATTTTGTTATAAACTAACCTTCATAGATATGGGTTGCAGTCTTGCAGATATGAGATGCATATACAACTGCTGTTACCTTTTGCTGCAGATCTATTATCCAAATATACTTCCCATTATCTTGTACAAATATATTTTTTCAGACAATTAAAAATTCTGTATTGCCTCTTTTTGTGAGGACTGTTGTTGAAAATTAAGACTCGATGACAAATTTTTAGTCTGGCTCTGCCACATCATTATATCCTGTGGTACAATCTGTGTACATCAACCTTCAATATGGTCACGACGTATTCAGATTCACAAATGTACATTTGCATCTTTGAAAGTATAAAGCCTGTTCGCTTGCTCGTATACAATCGTGGATTATAAGCTGGAATATTATTTTTCTCTCACACCAAACCAGCCAGCAGTAAATAATCCACGATCGTTTACGACGAAACGAACAGGCTGATAGTCATCAAAATTTTCATCATTAGCTTATGCTCTTCCATGTGCTTGCACGGATACGCTTTCTGCAGCAGCATCACTAAAACGGGACAAGAATTGCTCCAGGGTTCTTTGAAATATTTCTTATATAATTCAGGTTCTCACCTTAGCAGATAAGATTAATGTGCATTTGAGCCTTCTGAAAAAACTATATGTAATTCTTGATTCTTATCATCCTCACGTATCTCTCTGTCCCTAATGATTCACGTGACCCATGTACTAAGCGATATCCAGTGTATAACACTCAGAAGTTGTGAACATTTAAGCATGGTCCCTTTTCTCCGACCAATTGATGATTTGTTAAAGACATACTTAATCAGTGTAGCATGTTCGTCTGTTGTCTCCATAATAACACTGCTTCTGCTACCTCATGGTATTTCTTGGTTTCATACAACTAGCAAAAAAAAAACCACCGTGCAAACATCTGTGCAAAATACTCCCTCCGTCCTAAAATATCTGTCTTTTTCGTTTCCCGATAAACAACTTTGACAAATATATATATTAAAAAATATTAATATTTATGGTACATAATTGGTATCATTGGAAAGATCTTTGAATCTTGTTTTTTAATAAATTTATTTGAAAATACAAATGTTGCACGTATTTTTTACAAATCGAGTCAAACTTGTGACACGAAAAATAAAAACGACAGATAATTTAGGACGTAGAGTATATGAACCTACGTTATACACGACGACGATTAATACCTATTTTATGACAATCCCTACCCTTGAGAGGCAAAACACAAATTAAACACCGGTCCAATCCGCTGTATGCATGTTGGCGCGGCAACGCCGCGCCCCTTTTTCTAGTTAATTAATTATAATCCAAAAGAAAGCGAAAGATGCAGGATGACACTGTAGCCTACGTGGGCCCAAGCATGGAAATATTTGGATCAAGGTCAATCGGGTGCCCATCCTGCCAATCCCCATCCACCACGTGGCACCACTCGCCGGAGGAATCTCCGTTCAATCTGCCGTGTTCACACACGCCCCTCGCCCCTCGCCCCTCGCCCCGGCTGGATCTGAGACAGGAAGGGGCGGAACCGATCCGGGTTCCTCCCGGCCGCACGATCTCCCGCCCAACGGCCTCGATTCCACCTACTATAAGCTTCTCTGTGCAGCCGGTCTACGCGTATATATAATGACGCCTACCCACCCATCTCCTTCGTCCTGCGCTGCGCCTGCTGCCGCCCATTCTCCGCCTCCGATCGGACCACCGGGCCAGTAGCAGAGCGGGTTGTGACGTCAGCAGCCATGGTGAAGGCCTACCCCACGGTGAGCGAGGACTACCTCAAGGCGGTCGACAAGGCCAAGCGCAAGCTCCGCGGCCTCATCGCCGAGAAGAACTGCGCCCCGCTCATGCTCCGCCTCGCGTAAGCCCCCTCTCCCTTCTTCGCCCGATCCCGATCCGATTCGGAAATTCCGAAATTACTACCACTCCAACTCCTTCCTTCCTCCTTGCAGCTGGCACTCCGCGGGCACCTTCGATGTGGCCACCAAGACCGGGGGGCCCTTCGGCACCATGAAGAACCCCGCCGAGCAGGCGCACGGAGCCAACGCCGGACTGGAAATTGCCGTCAGGCTGCTAGAGCCCATCAAGGAGCAGTTCCCCATCCTATCCTACGCTGACTTCTACCAGGTTACCTGCCTGCCTGAGATTGCAACTCCGATCACCCATCCATTCCTCTGATTCTATCTAGATTGACTAACGAATTTTATGTCTTATTTACTGTGGCGGGGTTGCAGCTTGCCGGAGTCGTGGCAGTTGAGGTAACCGGCGGACCTGATGTCCCCTTCCACCCTGGGAGGCAGGTGAGGCGGATTCCTTAGTTTTATTATATTATTAAAAAAAAAGGGCGTACCCTGTTTAGAGAGCTCTCGCTCTGTACGGGGTATGAGGAAGGGTGTTAGTGGCAAGCCTTACCCTCGCATGTGCAATGCGAGGAGACCGCGACTCGAACCCGAGACCTTCTGGTCACAGGCGGTAAGACCGTACCGCTTGCACCAGGCCCACCCTTCTTTTTTATTATATTATTATTAAGATAAAAAAATCATCAAGCCCCAGCCTAACCCAACCCAAACCAGATATTTTGCTAGGGTTTAAGCAAAACAAACCCTACTGTCATTAGCCTCCCTACCAATTGTACGTAGCACATAGTTTCCTGTGATATATTCCCAAATAACTTGGTTAGAATACTTCTAGAATGGTGGCTTAGCTCGTGGCTCTGTTGGCTTAGCTACATATTACTAAATACTTATAGGTTCTGGATTCATGTGATGCTAATTCTTGCAATCCCTTATTGTGTGGACAATGATTTCAGATGTTTCTCAGGTTGGATGGACCGTTGATAGGTTGGCAATTTGTTGGTTACTGCCTACATCACATACATTTACCCCTTTATATTCCACGTGATAAAATTTGTCATGCTCTATTGGTTTGCCAAATAAAATTCCCTGGCTACATTATCAGCCCTTCTCATGAGAGAGTGGTAATATTAGGAGGATAGTTGTGCCATGGAGCCAGTTGATCTGCTGCATAGGGCCCCATATGAATTAGAAGCTATCTTTCGTGTTTGTTCATATAATAGCATATATTACTCATTCTGCGGATGTTTTGACTGTTCGCTGGCCACTTCTGATTAAATAGATGGTAAGCATGTAATTAGTAACTAGCTATGTCCTGTGACCTGTGTGATGTAGTATTTTATCTAGGGCTTGAAATACTTGTTGTAGTTTATCGCCTAAGACTCTTGCCTTGGATTAGTAGTATTTCTATTCGTTCACTGTAGAAGTTACATCATCTGCTAGTGGGAATATGTTATCATGCCTTGTTTCAGACTGCTGTTTCTTTACTGTATTGGCCTTCTAGCTGTGGCTGTTGATGAAATCATTGTTTTTATTCTGTAGGACAAGTCTGAGCCTCCGCCAGAAGGTCGCCTTCCCGATGCCACCCAAGGTACAATTATAGAATTCCTCTGATATTTTTTTGACTATAAAAGAAATCTCCTCAGTTAATGCATAATAATTCATGAGCAACATTTGATCCGAGTTCTTGGATTGCCTTCTTTGTCGTGTCAAGGATAAAGTTAGAATGTTTCTCAATGGTCGGAATGGGATAGGTGGACTTACTGGTTCGGTCTCTTGTATCAGGTTCTGATCACCTCAGGCAGGTTTTCTCCACACAGATGGGTTTGAGCGACCAGGACATTGTTGCACTTTCTGGTGGTCACACCCTGGTTGGTGGAACTGGGCACCTAGCCTGTGTATTTTTGTGTGTTTGGCAACTTGAAAGGTGGTGCTTATGCACAATTCCCTCTTCTTGTAGGGAAGATGCCACAAGGATAGGTCTGGGTTTGAGGGAGCCTGGACATCCAACCCTTTAATCTTTGATAACTCATACTTCACGTACGTGATCTGTTTCTTTCAAAGAGGGCAACTCTTATTTCTACTCGTACCCTGTTTTGCTGGTTAAACTGACTAGCTGTGTTACAATCGTGGAGCATGAACTCCTTGACACAAATCTTCATTAAAATTAAAGTTGAGTACACTTTGACAGGGAGCTTCTGAGTGGAGAGAAGGAAGGCCTTCTGCAGCTACCAAGTGACAAAGCCCTCCTCTCTGATCCATCCTTCCGCCCACTTGTTGACAAATATGCAGCAGTATATCTTTGATCCTTGCATAGTTCTCATTTGTTGGGAGTCGGCCTTTAGCTTGCAGGTTTATGTTACCTGTGATGATTTTGCCCGATTTGTAGGATGAGGACGCTTTCTTTGCTGACTACGCCGAGGCCCACCTGAAGCTTTCTGAATTGGGGTAAGTGGTGCTGATAGGTCTCTATCCGTGACTGAATGCTTGTTTACTACTAGCACTAGGGCAACAAACACTAAATCTCTTGCACTATGCAGATTTGTTGAGGCGTAAGGTGAGGTGCCCATAAAGAAAGGGAGGGAACGGGGCAGGGCAGGGCAAGGGTGGATGAAGATTGTTGCCTAGCTGATTTATCTTGCTGGCTATTTGCCACCTAAGACCAATGAGAACCAGAAGAGTGTGGTGGCTGTAATAAACCTTCGTCGGCCTTGTGAGGCAGGCCCATCTTTTGTGTGTTTCCCTTGAATGGTTAGAGTAATGTGATTTCCTTTCTGGCATTGATGAACTCAGCTGTATCGATATCGAAGAAGCTTTGATATGAAGCGGAGTCTGGCCAGTTGGTGGTTGATTTTGTTCTCTGCTCATCTGCTGGGATTGGTGGTGGTTTTTGCGCTCTGCTCATCAGCTGGGTGTCCATGACCGTTGGAGTGTTCGGAACCAGCACTGTAGCTGCAGCATCGGCTTTAGTTCGAAGTTATAATTTTTTTTTCTCGAAAACGTAGGAGAACTATGCTTCATTCTATTAAGAAAAAGAGGGATTGACCCAAATTATAACATACACCACGCCACCCTAATATAAAAGTATAAACGCATCTGTGAAAACAAAGTTCATATAAAAGTATAAACGCATCTGTGAAAACAAAATTCATATAAAAGTATAAACGCATCTGTGAAAACAAAGTTTAAAGTTATAGGGTCTGTTCGGCAGGACTGAAAAATACTGTTTCAGCTGATTGTTGTGAGAGGAAAATACTGTTCTGGCAGGACGTGAATAGTGATTTTGTGAGGTGGCTGGCCAGCCGACAATCAGCCAGCCAGCCAGCCGAACATGGCCATAAGCTGTTTTTTTTTCGGTTTTAAAGTTATATAAGTTGTTTTGGCCACTTTCGTGCCTAGCCTGTTCTCTGTCTCAGCTCTGAAAGGGGCTTAGGCAACTACTCCTTTGGTTCTAAGTTAAATTTTTTTTTTCTGTTCAAAGTTATAAATTGTTTTGGCTTTATAGTTTTTTCTTTTTATCTAGACTAGACAATAGTGTATCTCTAGGATTCTAGGTGCATAACAAAAGATATATATTTAGAAAAGGTTAGAATGGAGTAATTTTTGTTGGTTTCACTCATTTAGTTTTTCGAGGAATAGGAATATAGAAACTTGGGAGTGCGGAGATATTCTGAAATAATATGTTTACTCGATGGTTGGGTTCTGACTAGCTATCAACACCACAAATCACGGAAGCAGCCCCATTTGCCATCTTTGAGGTCGACATAGGGTTTCTTTACCTCGTGTTTGCCATCTTTAATGTGGTCTAAGGTATGTACAATCCATATAATGGGAGGTCGCCTGCAAGAGCATCGAATTTAGCGTACAGATAACTAAAAAGACAGGACGTACAACCCACATACTGGGGTTGTCTATAAATAAATTGTTTAATGTTTTGCATGTAGCCAAGATCAATTATGAATGACTTTGTATATCATTGTGTTGCTATTTGAATGACTGCAGATAAAAATTCAGAATCTTAATTTTCTCTATATTTGTTAGCTGGAAATGTAATGCGCTAGCAGGTTCTAAATATATACATGCATGGTACACTATCTCAGTTGGAAACCAGAATGTTCAGGATAAGCTATGAAAGTCTCCACAATATTGCATTCCTCAAAGCTTAAGCTGGGAGCAAGCATCACAGTTAACACAGTGAAATGCATGAGGGCTATCCTCAGTCAGTTCACTACAACGGCACAGAACAACACCAGATAACAGGTTGTACCCAGCAACAGCATGCTAGGATGGTCCCAACAAACTAACTTACAGCAGCTAAACCTTGATTGTGGCATTTAGTCGAGCCCTTGATTGATTGGAGGTTTCCTGCAGAGCTGAAAAATCAGAAGCACTCACAGTAACTCAATTTTTTTTTTGAAACGAATCAGGCAGGAGAGCTGCCGATTATATTAAAAAGAAGATAAACTCAAAATAGGCACAACAATACAACAATGATCAACAACACCGAAACTCAACAAAAAGAAAAAGAACAACAACTCTGATCAATCGAACTAGAACATCGACATGAACCACAGACAACAGAAAATAACACACTACAGCTAACAAACAAACATGTCGTCGTCAACAAGAGCAAACAAAACAAAGACAACCAACTTGAACCCTACGACCCATTGAGTTCCAGCGGACCGCTGTCCGGTGATTTTCTGCTCGGTGCCCGCAGCAGCTCCGACCTCGGTGCAGTCACGACAGGATCGGGCAGATGTCCACCGTTCAGAGGATGGGAAGCGGGATCTGGAAGGTGGACGCCGCGCCTGCTCGATGCCGGACGTGGCGAAGACTGCAGCTCCGACGGCTCCCGCGATGTCGGACGCACATCAGGCTCCCGTTTCCGAGAAGCAGGAAATCGATTTGTTCTTCGGCGAGGTTCCTGTCTCCCCAGACAGGGCACAACTCGGCGACGACAGTACGCCACTCGTTGATGGTGCCGTCGAGGATTTAGGCGCGGATGGTGATTCAGTTGAGGATCCAATTCGCGAAGATCTGCTACGACGCCGTCGACTGACCCTGGCGCCTCCGCCTATCTCGTATCAGCCTCGTTTGAAGATTGAGAACCGGCAAAAGTCGATTGGCAAGGGAGCTGTGAGTCAGACTCCATCCATCGACAACCAGCTGATTGTGGAAGAGGCGCCTGCTTGTTGACGGAGTTCGCCGGAACATTTTTCGATTCAGCTAGTTTGGCAGGTTTTGCCTCGACGAGGCAAAACCTGCCAAACTGCTGAATGGAAAAATGTTCCGGCGAATTCAATGTCAACAAGAACAAGTTCTCTCCACAATCAGAGGATCTCGATGGTGGGAGTCTGACTCACAGCTCCCTTGCCAATCGACTTTTGCCGGTTCTCAATCTTCAAACGAGGCTGATACTGTGGATCGGGAAAAAAACTCGATCATTCGCAAATCAACCTGCTCGTACAAAAATTTCCTCTGGGTTTGCTCTCCGGCGACCTAGGATGGTTCGTCCATGGAGGGGACCCTTGCCCAAACCTCGTTCGCCAGCTCCAGTGACGCTGGCCACATTCATGCCGCCTGAATTGGTAACTAATCCCGATCGGGTTGCCGTGGATACCGCATCTTGCATGGCAGTAAATTCAATTGCAAAACAGAGTCAAGATCTACGAGTCCTAGTTGAGCGGGCAAAATCCTTTGGTCGGTCCAGAGGTGATCTGGTGCGATCGTGTCCTTGGCGGACCCACGTGCGGGTGACTCCGATAGACAAAAACACCAAATGCCAATAGCGCTCATAAGCTAGCGACATATCATACGCGAGCCGCCGCCATTCCATCTCGCCCTACCTACGCCGAGATGGCGGCTCGTGCACCACCACCACCGAATCGTGAGGCTCCTTCACGCCCTCCACCGATTCGCAATTTTCACCAAAACAGACCCCCATGCCGGTTGGATCGGCCTCAGAGAGGTCGTGGCACTGGACCGGGCGTTGTTCATGGATATGTTGGTCGTCATCTAGGAAGACATAATGCATGATTTTTGTTTGAAGAATCATGGGGTCACATTGACAATCTCAGAGTGGCAGGATGCTAGTGACTCTATTCTGGCTTATCATCTTGATGAAGTTTGGGTTCATGTCAGTAAAGTCCCTCATCCTTGGCGCCATTAGCTTGGCTTTTGGGCACTCGGTACGGTCATTGGTGCTACTCTAGAGGTTGATATGCTCACTTATAGGAAAAAAAGGTGTGATCCGGATTCGGGTGGGGATGATGAGCAGAGAGTATTTACCCTTTACCACCGATGTGGTTTTTGAAAAAGTAGGACATGAAGTTAACTTTCTGTTTGGAGGAGGCAAATTCTGAGCCAGCAATTCCTCCACCGAATCCAGATTACTCTGATCGGGATGAGGACGCGGCTGGAAAAGGTGATGCAAATCATGTGTAGACCTATGGGATTACCGGCTCATGACAGTGAACCAGATAGTCTCCAGACCATTAGTCTTACACTCTTGGCCTCCAGACCACTAGTCTCAGACCCCTGGCCTCCAGATCACTAGCCGTGCCGACCACCGTACCGGCTTTATCCGTACCCACACACTACGGATCGAGCTAGAAGAAGAAAGGAGAACAAAGCAAGCACGCACAATACAAGACAACAACGTTGGCTGATGCCTTATCTGTATGATGGTAAATCTGAGCTCTCTTTACTGAGTTGCCTTGATGCCCTATTTATACAACTCTATCTATCTAACTAAAGTACAGCGCACATGCTGTAATAGTAACTAGATAAGCATACAAGACTGATTCTGCGCCGACCACTGCATGTGCCTACAGTGCTGCAGGTGAGCCGTGCGGCGCCTGCACCTGCAGCGGCTACAGTATCACAGCAGGGGGCAAAGTCGACGCCGTCTTCCTCTGCTGTGTTCTCACAAGATGGCAGTAGATTAGCTAACAATCTTCTCCTAATCCTACTGCTAACTCTTGCACCCCCTCTATGCCGATCATCTCCTTCAGCTCCGTGAGTCGAAGTCGTCCGAGCGGCTTGGTGAGGACGTCCGTGAGTTGCCGACCAGTTTCGACAAACTCGATGACGATCTACCCTCCATCAACACAGTCCCTGAGGAAGTGGAACTTCACGTCGATGTGTTTACTCCGGTCGTGCAGAACCGGATTCTTCGCGAGGGCGATGGCGGGCTGGTTGTCCACCATCAGTGCTGGTGGGTGAGCTTTCACGCCGGTTAGCTCGCCCAGCAGCCGGCGTAGCCACACAACTTGGCACGCCGCTGTGGCCGCCGCTACGTACTCTGTCTCGCATGTAGATAGCGCTACCACCTTCTGTTTCAGCGACAACCATGAAATTAGGGCTGACCTGAGGAAGACGATTATGCCAGAGGTGCTCCGTCGTCCGTCGATGTCCCCCGCCATGTCTGCATCGATGAACACCGTGAGCCGCAGCCTACTTCTCCGGTCTTTGGAAAGATGATTCCATGATTCACCGTCCCCTTGACGTAGCGTAGTAACCGTTTCACCGCAGCCCAGTGATTCTCTCTGGGATCCTCCATGAAGCGACTGACGTAGCCCGCGGCGAACGCAATGTCTGACCTTGTGTGGACTAGGTAGCGCAGACCGCCGACGATGCTCCGGTAGAGTGTTGCATCCACTTTCGTCGCGGTGTTGTCCTTCGTCAGCTTCAGGCGCTCCTCCATCGGAGTCACGCATGGCTTGCACTCCACCATGCCGCTCCTTTCCAACAGTTTGGAGGCGTACGCGCTCTGCCCGAGCGTGAGTTCTTCCTTCCCTTGCCCCACCTCGATGCCGAGGTAGTAGGAGAGTGCGCCGAGATCGCTCATTCGAAAACGAGCTGCCATCTCGCGCTTGAAGCTGTTGAGGTCCTCCGTGCGTGCACTGGTGACGATTAAGTCATCCACATACACGCCAACCACAAGCTCTTCCTTCCCTATCGTCGCGTGTAGAGCGCGTGCTCGGTTGCGCACCTCTGAAACCCAAGCTCGGCCAGCGTGGTGTCAAGCTTGGCGTTCCATGCTCGAGGGGCTTGCCGCAGCCCGTACAACGCTTTGCGCAGTCGGAGCACCCTGTGCTCCTCTCCCTTGACAGCGAACCCTGGAGGTTGTCTGACGAAGACTGTTTCCGCCATCTCGCCGTTGAGGAAGGCCGATTTAACGTCCAAGTGATGGACGCGCCATTCCTTTGCTGCCGCCAAAGCAAGTAGCAAATGGACCGACTCTATGCGCGCTACTAGCGCAAAGACCTCCTCGAAGTCGATGCCCTCACGCTGGACAAAGCCTCGGGCGACGAGGCATGCCTTGTGCTTGACGATGGTACCGAGCTCGTCCCTTTTGACTTTGTACACCCACTTTAGGCTGATCGGACGACATCCTGGGGGTGGATCGACGAGCTGACAAGTCTCGTTTTCCTCGATCGCCTTCATCTCCTCCAGCATTGCCCGTCGCCAGTTCTGTGTCGTTGAGCAGCCTGGCCGCCAGTCCTGAGGGACCTGTGCCGCCAACGATATCGTCCAGCCTGCGGAACCTCAACTCCTCCCCTTCGTGGTAGGCATCCACGAACTCAGTGGTATCACTTGGAGGTGAGACAAACTCGATCGGGGGCGATGGAGTTCCTTCTTCCGCCGGAGTGCCCTGCATAGCACCCGAAGTGCTCGGCACTTTTTATGGACTGCTTGTCATAACTCCTGCAGTGTTCGGCCACACTATAGGAGGGCCCAGCCTCAGTCTTGAAGTGGTCGGCACCACAGTAAGATGTCTTGGCTCCGCTACGGGAGTGCTCGGCACCCATCCTGAAGTGGTCGCCACCACTGCAGAACCTCCTGGCTCCACTCCTGGCGTGCTCGGTATCCCTCTAGAAGTGCACGACACTCCTCCTGGAGTGCTCGGCATTGCTCCCGAAGTGCTCGGCACTGCCCCAGAAGTGCTCGACTCTACCGCCGGAGTGCTCGGCGCTCCTCCCGGAGTGCGTGGCACCTGTTTCGCAGCGTCTCCACCGCCGTGGTTGACCAAGTGCTCGACAACGAAGGTTTTGGTGAAGCCTCCCGCTTCCCCCGTGCTCGGACTGTTCCAGTCCCAAGCTGCCTCCTCGTTGAACACAACATCGCGCGAGACAGTCACCTTGTCTCCGCGAGGGTCATAGAGCCGGTACGCCTTGGTACCCTCCGCGTAGCCTAGGAACACTATGGGTGTGCTCCTGTCCTCTAGCTTGGTGAGGTTCGGCTTCGTTTTCCTAACGTGGCCGATGCAACTGAATGTCCGGAGGAATGACACGTTCGGCTTGCGCCCGTACCGAGCTTCGAACGGCGTCTTGCCCGTTAGGGCTTTGGTTGGAGCGCGGTTGAGGATGAACACCGCCGTGGTCACCGCCTCTCCCCAGAACTTTGCCGGCATCCCTTTGGCCTTCATCATGGATCGGGCCATGTCGACCACTGTCTGGTTCCGTCGCTCCACCACGCCATTCTATTGTGGTGAATATGGTGTGGTGTGATGTTGCCCCACACCTTGATCCGCGCAGTACGTAGCAAACTCCACCGAAGTGAATTTGCCACCCCGATCAGTCCTCAGTACGCGGAGCTTCTTGCCGCTCTCGGCCTCCGCGCGCGTCTTGAACTTCTTGATCGCCACCGCCGCTTCGTCCTTGCTCGTCAGGAGTTGCAGCCACATGTAGCGACTACAATCGTCCACGAGCAGGAGGAAGTACCACCGACCACCGCATGTAGCAGGCATGATCGGCCCGCAGAGGTCGCCGTGAACTAGCTCGAGAGCTTCCTTCGTGCGATACTTGGCCGCCTTTGGGAAAGGTAGCCTCCTCTGCTTCCCGGCCAGGCAGCTGTCACACAGCTCGCCTCCGTGCTTGATGTGGGGTAGCCCTCGGACCATCTTCCCCAGCCGACCAAGCGCGTCGAAGCTGAGATGTCCGAACCGGGCATGCCATATCCACGGCTCCTCGGAGTGCCTTGCCGCCAGGCAGACCGGCTGCTCTACCTTTAGGTTGAGCAGGTACAACCAGTTCAGGGACCTCTTCACCTTGGTTAGAAGTCGCTACTCCCGGTCTCTGATCCTCAGAACGCCGTCCTTGATCAGAACCTCGCTACCACGCTCATCCAGCTGACCAATGCTGATGATGCTGGAACGCAACTGCGGGATGTAGTATACATCCGTTAGCGCGTGG